GTAAATTTATAAGATCAGAAGTCTCGGGTGAATGAGAAGTAAGTCTTGTATGCAAATGTTAGTTGCCCCAACGTGGGCATAAACAGAGTGTCTGTGAGAAAGATGGAACATAACAGAACGCATTATTAGATTAAGTAGAGGACAAGTTGATGGAGTTATTAGCTCCCAAATAGTCCAGGTCAATGGTGTGCCGCACCATGTGAAAAACCTTCACCTGCAACACGAGTTAAGCGCCTCAGAAGAGCATCACAGCGAAGATACATCATCAGATAGTGATTTGGAGACAACAATGTTTTGCCCGATGCAGTCAGATGGTCTGCCCTCTGTACCAGAGAGTACAGATTCGGACAACGAGGAAGGTTGTGATGACACCGAAAATTCCAAGGACCTGCATAACATAGACGTGGCCGTACTGCCGCCGGAAGCATCCCCTCCACCTCTACAAAGGAGTGTTCATCAAAGGCGTTCTCCCCCCCACCCTGTCATCTCTGTGATCATGAGATCAGGGGGGAGTGTGAAGAATGAGAACTTATCTCCCACAAAGCGAATTTGGATCCCGTGTCAGGTCTTGTTAAAACATCATGACCAGTGTTCAAAGCGAAAATGAATTATTCCGAAACTCTTATATCATAGGCAGGCGTACTATTAAAAATAAAAAGACTAAACATTCAAGCAGGCATAAATTTATAAGATCAGAAGTCTTGGGTGAATAAGAAGTAAGTCTCATATGCAAATGTTAGTTGCCCCCAACGCAAATGTTAGTTGCCCCCAATGTGGGCATAAATAGCGAGTCTGTGAGGGCAACAGGACAGAACGCATTGTTGGCATGACGGCGTACATACTAATGAGAACGAGAGAATAGGAGGTCACTAACAACAGCTCAGTTGGTAGACCAGAGGACTGCATGAAAGCAAGCACTTTAATCTATTTCAGCCATTGCAAATGACGGGTGAACTGAATTATGCACACCGTTACTCAGTTCAACAGCAATCAATCTCTTTCTGTACCTTTTAATCAATGATTCGCAATTTTCTGTTGGTATTTTACTCCATTCTTCTTTGCATATACTCTTTAGGTCCAGAGCTCTTTTATTAACTTGAATTTTTAATAAATGCTACAAATTCTCTATTGGATTCAAGTCTGGAGACTCTGATGGCCATTCAAGTGTATTGACATACTTTTCAATAAGCCATTTTTTTTTATAGATTTAGCTATATGTTTAGAGTCATTATCTTGTTGCAAAACCCATTAATTTGGGAGTCCAAGCTTTACTACCTCCCCAAACAAATCAGAGTTCAAAACATGTTAGTATATTTTTGAATTTATTCTAATATCTATTATCTCAAAATTACTCGTACCATTAGCAGAAAAAACATCCCCAAACCATGATATTGCCACCACCAAATGTCACTGTTGGGATTGTGTTCTTTGGTGCAAAGGCTGTGTGGTCTTTTCTTCAAACATTAGTCCTTGAAATACCTAAATAGTTTAATTTTTGCTTCATCTATCCATAAAACACTTTTCCAAAATGATTCAGGTTTATTCTTATGCTCACAAACAAATTTTAATTGGGCATCCCTATGTTTCTTCAATAATAGTAGAGTTTTTCTTGGAGAATGTAATCATAGTTGACTTCTATGGAGTTCATTGTGTATTGTTCACTTTGTAACAATAATACCTAACGCTTTTAATTCTTCCTGTGTTTCTCTCCAAGTAGTCATTGGATTTTCTTGAATTTTGCACTGAATTCTTCTCATTGATCTCAAAGAAATCTTGCATGGTGCACCAGATCTTGATTTGTTCTCAACAGTTTTCACCTTTTTATACTTAGCAATAATGAAACTAATAGTAGTAAATGGTATATTCAGGATATCTTCTATTTTTTTATAGCTTTTGCCTTCTTTCCAATGTTTGATGATCAATTCATTTTGCAAATTTGATAGTTCCTTGCCTTTCTCCATGATGATAATTGTGTATGATTTGTGTGTGGAGATAACCTTATATAAGAAATGAATTGCGGAATATTCTAGATTGTTCCAGTAATAAGATAATTGGAAGAATCTAGCAAAATTTTACAAAGAATTATGTAAATAAAGGTAATTTAAGCCTTTTGATATTAAAGATATTTTGTATGAATATTTTTTTTTGCCTCAAAGTTTTATAAATAACATTTCATATATAAAAAAGTTTTCTAATTGTTTTTTGCATATTGCAACATTATGCAATGGTGTAGAAATAGTGTATGGATTTTAAGCTTTTTCATAAGTTATAATTATGTTAATTAAAACATTTCATAGTGTACAAATATTTCTTTCCCTGACACTGTATTGTGACCATTTTTCTTAAAGTTCTTATTTTCTTGATTTCAGCTGAAAGCTTCAAAATTTCACAATATGTTGCAATGAAAATTTCACTTTCCAAAATTATAATTATAATTCAGATATAGGGGGAGAGGAGGAAGGTGTTAATTTAAACTAATGCCAGCATGACATAGACTGAAAAAAAAAAAAAATTGGTCAGCATTCTTCAACAAATAGCTCATTCAATTGCCAACATTTCATTATTGGATGATTGACTGATATTGACAGGACATTTATTTGAAATTGAAATCAATTGTAATGTTAAATGTAGAGGAATTATTTGTTTTTATTAGGCTAAATCTTATTTTTAAACTTAAATGTTTGTATTTTCTGTTCCTTTATATCAGTGTTTTTCCTATTATTCACATTTTGAAGACTTTTTTCCCCAGTCAGTATATGATGTCACTAATAACAAGAAAAAATGTGATAATAGCAGAGTGGGCTTGCAATAGACATTTGGCATTTTTGGAACATTTCTTAAGTGATATGTGCTGTATCACATCTGAAAGTAGACAGTCTGATTTCAGAACTGGTCTAACTTTGTCCTAATTCCAAGTACTTGTCAAATTATGCTTGTTTGAAGTTAATAAAACTTGTACATGCTTAATTGTTTACTTTTAGATGATCAATTCTGGATAGTTGCCTTTCTGCCTCCTTTTTGAAAGGAAACTCATTGGAATCTTGTTGAAAGAAATGTTATAATTGATGGACCATCTATTTAAAAAAAAAAATGGCCTGTATCAAGTAGATTTTGTTTTTGGTACACAATTCAGTTAAATTGATTATTTTGTCCTATTTTACTTGCTTCTGTTGTCCCTGACCCGTGGACTTCAAATAATTCTAACAAAAAACCAGAGACAATTTTTTTTTTTTTTCTCATTTTTTGTGTAACATCCCAAATATTAAAACTTAAATTATCCTTTGGAAGATATTTCAAATGTACTCAATTCTTTTCATATATTAAATTGATTATTATCTGCTATTTACACTAAATGCGAAGCACTAAATATCGGTTTATGATCTCACTTTCCTTGTATTTATCAGAAAATCATGCTCTAGACCTCTGTTATGTTATTTGGGATGCTGAATCCATTTTTGGCACTGGAGATCCCCCAAAATATCTAAATGGAAAAATTTAATCTCTTTTGGGGAATTTTGGCTCTTCATTGCAGACCCAACCTCATCCTGGCTATGATGATAAACTACATCTGACAGCAAGGCTTCTGATTGAGAGATTGGAGGTTTTCAGCAGTATGAAACCATCTTTTAATTTGCTGTTGTTCCTAGATCCACCTCAACCCAGGGTGGTAGCACCTGTTAGGGTCCCAACTATGGGCAAATGGTGACCCCCCCCCAACAAAAATCAACAGTACATTTTTATAGTAAATTTACCAACAATATATTTTATGATTTACAAAATATACATGTAAAAAAAACTGACCTTTACTCTGAAAGTATAAAATTATGTACAAGATATCTATAGTTGAAAGCATAAAACTATGTACAAAATATTTAGATTTTGGCATTAAATAGCCCATGTATGTTGATATGCACCAAATGAATCAACCAGACCTAATGTCCCCGCTTTTTTTTTTTTTTTTTTTTTTTTTTTTTTAAATTAGAAATATGAAAGTTTTGTTTTAAATACAGACAACATTAATACAGTGCGATAATTACTGAAAATTATTCAGGAGTCTTAAAAACCACAAATGTTTGCTTGGATGTATTATAGTAAAATTTCAAGAAAAGATCTTTTGTAGTTTGAAGTTTCTATCAAAACATTTAACAACTGCGAAATTGTTTTAAATTAATATGAAATGACTTTAGAACCAAGAAGTTTGATATTTAAGCTTGAATCCTCTGTCATGTAACAAAGCTGATAATGAGTTTGGCATTGAAACTAATGTTAGGTGGAATTCTTATCTACATAATCTTACCTGCCAGACTTTCTTTATCTGCACCATAATCAGATTGTTTAAAAATTTTATAAGTAAAGAAAAACGAAAGTGAAATATTGGTGACGTCAGAAAAAGAAACTGGGACTGATGATTGTCATTACCTGATAGAATGATACCTGAATTGGTCAGGAGAATCACATAATCTTAGAAAGTCCTGATGTAGGCTATTCTTTAAAAACAAAAGAACATTCAAGGCAGCAGTGAAAGAAGTAATTTTGATTTCTCAGTTTGAGCTTTTCTTTTTAAATTCTAACATTTATTTTGTTATATTTTTAAAATTCTCTGAACAAACTTTATGTTCAAATCTATAAACTTGTTATGAGTGCCCCAAACTATGTTTACCATTCCTGTCATCAGGAAATGTTAATGAAAAATCTAGCACAGAAAGTGAGTCTATGGATTCATAGACAGATAAATGTCCCTTATAATATTGTGCAAATTAATTTTTTTTTCTATTCACATTTTAGACAGTAAATTGATTTTTGTTTTTGAGAGAAATTGAAAGTCCTAAATCAAGAATGTTAAATTTTGATTTTGGATTGAATTTCCTAGTAACGAATAAGAACAGTACAATACTGACTTGTCCACTTGTCCACTTAGTTATTATTTATTTCTTCCTTCAGCTGAAGAAAAGCTTTTTCTCTATTGGCTGTGTTACCATTTTAAAGTTGCATTTCTAAAGCACAGTGTTGGCATTGTGTCTCTGTCAACTATCAACAGTGGGAAAAGATGGGCGAGGTCCTTTAATATATCTTACATCCTTCCCTCGTCGACCTTCTCTCTCTCTCTCTCTCCTTCCCCCGTCGACCTTCTCTCTCTCTCTCTCTCCTTCCCTGTCGACCTTCTCTCTCTCTCTCTCCCCCCGTCGACCTTCTCTCTCTCTCTCTCTCCTTCCCCGTCGACCTTCTCTCTCTCTCTCTCCTTCCCCCGTCGACCTTCTCTCTCTCTCTCTCTCCTTCCCCCGTCGACCTTCTCTCTCTCTCTCTCTCCTTCCCCGTCGACCTTCTCTCTCTCTCTCCTTCCCCGTCGACCTTCTCTCTCTCTCTCTCCTTCCCCGTCGACCTTCTCTCTCTCTCTCCTTCCCCGTCGACCTTCTCTCTCTCTCTCCTTCCCCGTCGACCTTCTCTCTCTCTCTCTCTCTCCTTCCCCGTCGAACCTTCTCTCTCTCTCTCTCTCCTTCCCCAAGAGACCTTCTCTCTCTCTCTCTCTCCTTCCCCGTCGACCTTCTCTCTCTCTCTCTCTCCTTCCCCGTCGACCTCTCTCTCTCTCTCTTCCCCTCCTTCCCTCTCTCTCTCTCCTTCCCCCTCTTCTCTCTCTCTCTCTCCTTCCCCGTCGACCTTCTCTCTCTCTCTCTCTCCTTCCCCCGTCGACCCTCTCTCTCTCTCTCTCCTTCCCCCTCTCTCTCTCTCTCCTTCCCCGTCGACCTTCTCTCTCTCTCTCTCTCCTTCCCCGTCGACCTCTCTCTCTCTCTCTCTCCTTCCCCGTCGACCTTCTCTCTCTCTCTCTCCTTCCCCGTCGACCTCTCTCTCTCTCTCTCCTTCCCCGTCGACCTTCTCTCTCTCTCTCTCTCTCTCCTTCCCCGTCGACCTTCTCTCTCTCTCTCTCTCTTCCCCTGTCCCTTCTCTCTCTCTCTCCTTCCCCCGTCGACCTTCTCTCTCTCTCCCCCCGTCGACCTTCTCTCTCTCTCTCCCTTCCCCGTCGACCTCTCTCTCTCTCTCCTCCTTCCCCGTCGACCTTCTCTCTCTCTCTCTCTCCTTCCCCCGTCGACCTTCTCTCTCTCTCTCTCTCTCCTTCCCCCGTCGACCCCTCCCTCCCTCGTCCTCGTCTCTCTCTCACCGTACCTCTCTCTACCCACTCTTTTTTTCCCACCCGCTTCTTTGATATTGTTTTTAATTCAATTTTGTTTTCATTTTTAAATGTACTTTCGCTCTTTAACACTGTAAGTATATAAATGATTAAAACGTGGCTTTTTTTCTGAAAAAAAAATTTATGAAAACCCCACTGACCACAATCATTCCAACTTGGACTGAAACGTGGGCAGCAGCGGTGCGTTTGGTCACGTGGCCACCAGTTTTACAAAATTGTAGAATCTATGAATTGAAGAAAAAGCTTCTGCTTATTTGTACGATTTTGAATTATTTTTCCGCTCCTCGAATTAAAATTTATATTTGAAAAGTTTTTAACACCGAAAGAATTTAAAAATCCTAAAAAAAAAAAAAACTTACTTAGATCATTAAAATTAAAATTATTATGGTTTTATCGAACAGCTTCCCTCCTTCATTTACCCACTGGCAATTATTTGGCAAATGTCTCAGTTGAGTTTTTTTTTTTTTTTTTAAATAACAGCTCTGTTTTCACGTTTTAACTTTTTATCTTAGTTGCAAGTCAAATAATACAATCATCATAGTCTCTCTTGTTTATTGTTGTTACCCTAGTACCATCACAGCTAAGTGAAGTCTAAGTGTAACAGCAACAGACGAAGACCACCACTACACATATGTATGACCAAACATTAAACAAGACAAGATTTATAAACACCGGCAAGCAAGCCTAACCACTGGTCTGTCATTTATTGTGACAGGCTTTTAGTTGTGTATTTCCTTTTCTTTTTGGTCCAAGTTAAGTTAATTCATTTTCTTTCTCTTTTAAAAATCGAACGACGACAGAATGGTGTAGTATGCAGGGTCAGTTTTTAAGTTCTCTACAAAAACAGATTAATACACTGATTTTTTTTCCCCTTCTTAGAGAAGGAGAATTTTTACTTTGTAAGTTGTGACCAAGATGAGATTGAGAGGAGAACAACGTTAAATTTAAAAACGTCACCATATCTCCATCCAACTCTACCTACGAAATACCGGTTCATTTTCCTGGTAGGTTGTGTTTATTATTATTATTATTATTATTATTATTAACAACTTACTACAGGCACTGACAGCCTTAAAAAACAAAAAAGAAATTCCTTTGGTCTTCTTCTCTTTTGTTGATTCGGTTCTCTGTGAACTGTTGCGTTAGTAAGGGTTTTATCATCATCATTATTTATTCATTCATTCATTCATTCATTTTTAATTTTATTTACTTATCGCTGCTTTGGGGTCAGTAAGGGCTGTTGCTAAAAGAAAAGACTAGTCTAAAATAAATCGAATTAAACACATTTCTTAAAATTTAAAAAAAAAAAAAGGTAATTTATTTTCAATTTTCCATTTGTACGTCTGCTTACCTTTTATGTACTGAATGTTTTAAAAAGGAATAATCTTAAAGCAAAAAAAAAAACAAAATTAAAATTTGAAAAATTATCCACCTTTTAAAAACTGATGTTTTTGTTGTTTTAATTTGTTTTTCTTGTTCTCACGCACCACTCTGCGCTTTTAATTGCCTTTCGGCTATTATTTTTAAGTGGATTAGTTTTTTATTTTATATAGATTTGATTTATTTATAATTTATTTTTTTTTTTATAGAGTAAAAAAAAATTAAAAAAGTAAATAATTCAAAACTTTTTTAAAACAAATAGATCCTTTTCCTTTCAGTTTCCACCAAAAGAAAAGATCTTCCTTTTTTTTTTTATGAAAAATTGAAAGTTATTCAAAGTTAAAAAAAAAAATTAAAGTAGAAATTTGACATTTTTTTTTTTTTTTTCACTCTTGGGCATTTTCGAATATAAACAAGGAAATTCCCTGTGTTAAAAAAAAAAAAAATTCTTTAGAATTTGTTTTTGTCGTTTTTCTTTTTTTTTACTACTCAGAAACTAAATCTGGGTTGACGTGTTAGTTAAAAATTATTCTGCGTACAAAAACGATGGCATATTTTTTAAATATCATCAGCATATCTAAGTAAGAAGAAGAAAAAAAAAGTACAAATTTGCTATTTAAAATAAAATCTCAAAGCAAAGACGCGGATAGTGAATACTGAATTTATTTAAATTTACAAACATCTTCTGCAGTAAAAATTGAATAGATAAAAAAAATATTTTAATTCATTTTTCTTACAAACTTAAGACCTACAGTGAAAATTGATATCCCCACCATCCTTAAGTCAAAACTCAAAATTGATATTGGGTTAAAAATAAATATTTAAAATGATGTGATCACTTCGCACATGTAACTTAGTCATATCATTTAAGCTAAGCACAATATTTGCACTTGTTTTGGGCAGAAAATTAAAAACAAAATTTGATATTTACGAAAATATAAATCTTAAATACACATTACTTACTTAATCTTACACGCGGACTATTGTTCGCATATTTTTTTGATATTATCACAACGATCCGAGTAACCTACAGGTAATTTTGAACTGAATGCTATTACGCGGGTAGATTGTTCTTCCTATTTTAGGACTGCTTAGTTATTGCTCGACCCGTTTCCACTAAATCCAAGTACACATTGCCCGGACCAGGGATTGAACTCGCAATTACTATGTCAGCATATCCACGAACCAACGCTTTAAGTTTAAATCCACTATTCTCTCATGTAATTGAACTCGGTGAAAACTGGGCAAGCGATAACATATAATTTGTTAATAACTAAAAAAAAACAAAAAACAAAACTAGATGAAACCTCCCTAGACATGGCAGTAGGATGTGATTGTGAACAATCTCTATCTCAGTAGAAATTAATTAAGAGTTCATTTCATACTTTCCCGTAGGTTACCTGGATCAGCATACACCTGATGAAGACTGGAGGGTACAACATCTGAAACATTGTGATAGAGCAATAGTCCCTATGTAAATAATAACAACTCTTCATCTCAGAAATTTAGAGGAAAACATAATTTGTTGTAATCCTTTTTAAAATTTAACTTGATAAAAAAAAAAAAAAATTGGAACAGAAAAGATGCAACATTTTAGAGAATTTTTTGAGATGATTTCCAGTATAAAGTTTTTTTGTTTATCAATTTTGTCTTGACTCTAATTAGCCAAATTAAATGAATCTCCTCTTAATATGCAAAATATATTTTTGAAATTTCATTGTTCATATTAGTTTTATTTTTTTATTACTTATATCTCTTTTACATTTGTTGTAGCATCCTTATGACAACGGCAAATTATTCTAAGCTTGGAAATGTAAAGATACCATCAATAATGATTGGAACAATAATTTACCATCGGTAAATTCCTTCATTTATATTTATTTTTAATTTAAAATAATGACACTTTAGTTTAAAAATAATTGTAAATTTTTTTTTTTTTCATTTTAAAGAGTTGACCATAATGTTGAGTATATTGGTGTTTATTAGTAATTTAACTATTACAATAACAAGCAGAAATATTTGACTAAATAAATTATTTTTTAAAAATTCCTTTTAGGGTGTCTCAAAAGTGAAAACTAATTTTGTGCTATTGCAAGTATTTTTTTTAACTAATTTATAACTTTTTAATTTGTAAACTATGTTTATCTCTGATTTTCAAGGCCATTACCATTCCAAGTTTTAATTGGACAATAGAACTTTTTTTTAATGTGTGTAGTAATCCTTTTGTTAAAAGTCAGTTTTCTTTCCTCTTTTTTTCTTTTTAATTTGCTTGTGATTTTTGGGGGGAATCACCCCAAACAAGGCAGTACAGCCACTAAAACACAAGGGGTTACAGGGTGTGGAAGAATTGGGAACAGAAACATTAATGATGAACAGAAAGCGAAGAGAGTAATCAGGTGGACAGTAGATAGCAATTGACATTGCATTTAAACTTTTGCAATAAAAAATATATTTTAGCAACTACTTACTAATTTATTAGTTATTGCTTGTCTGTTTCCAGAGAGTCCAAGTACACACTGCTTGGGCTAGTCAATGTGTACTAGTACTCAGGGGGAAACAGGTGAGCAATAACTGAGTAGTACTATGAATAAGATCTAGCTGATATGAGTAGTGGATTGAGAACAGTCTAACCCCATAGATTAAATAAAGGGTTCATTTCTCAATTTCCTGTAAGTTACCCAGATCAATATATGCCTGATAAAGACCAGAGGGCACAACAACTGAAACGAGATGACCACAAAAATAGGGGCAATAATGTAATTTAATTTTCTATTAAATTTAATTGCTGCTTTAGCGTGTGTCCTAATCAGTGTATCTTACTACCACATTTGTATCCTACAGGAATGATGCCATTTATTGTTGTACTAGCAGTAGAGCCCGGCGTTGCCCGGGGATGTAACAGTAAGAGATAGATCAAGTATCGACCATCATAAAGACTGAAAAATAAAATTGACGGACACGTATGTCTTAATTATTTTTTTGTTTTGTTTTGTTTTTTGTTTTTTTTATGAATTGGTCAAACTCAAACAAAAACATTGTTTTCAATCGTTATGAGTCTACCGATTGAATAGAATTTTATTATAAACAATTGTCTTGTAAATGGAATTTTTAAAGCATTCTGAATGTAAAAATAAAGAAAAAAGTGTGCAAGACAATAAGAAACACTACCTGCCAAAAAAAATAAGTGAAGTTTTGTTGAAATCGGTTGAAAAATGTAGGAAATCCAATCCCATATATAAACGAATACACACACACACACACACACACACACACACACACACACACACACACACACACTGGGTTTTATAATAAGTATAACTCGATATAAGTTGTCCCTCTTTCATTCCCACGATAGCGATGCCTCTTAATCGTGTTTTCAAATTGATTTCATGCAAAAACAATTGTTTTTTCAATTTTTGGCACTGTCAGAACCACTGCACAGTAATTTTACGTAGTCCTGTGAAGTTTTGTTGAAAAATGTAGGAAATCCGATCCAATATATAAACGAACAGACACACACACACAACCTGGGTTTTATAATAAGTATGATTATATAATTTAAAATAAAAAAAAAAAATTATAAAACAAGGTATTTGAATCTTTTAAATAAAAACGTTCTGAATATCTTTGAACATATCAAGAAAAAAGTTGGGACAATGCCTTAATAATGTAGGATACAAATTTGGTGGTAGGATATGCACTAAAGCAAAAACTGACCGGTAGGGCACATACTAAAATGGCACCTAAATTTATTTACCAATTTTTTTTTTATCTTTTGAAGTATGAAATTTTTTGTTAGTTTTCTTTTGGTATCATAGTCATAAACCCTGTAACTCATCAGGTGTATCACATGTACTGCAGCCATAGCAGCAGTGCATGTGTCTAGGGCAGGGGTTCCCAAATTGTGTTGTGCAGTGGAAGAGGATAGCAGGTGAGGTGAAATGATTGAATGACAAAGGTTTAGAAAAAGTTTTTAAAAATTCATATGCCAAATATAAATAATTTCAAATTTTAAAATATTATTATGGATTACTTGTAATTGCATGCATAAATAGTTATAAATAATCATTGACTGATTTTATCATTGTGATATTTTTACATTATATCAAGTATTAAGAATATAGTAACTAGGGTCTGCAAATTGGAGGAGAAAGAGAGTTATCAATAATAATGTTCTAACTTCGAATCTGCAGTTATCTCCCTTTAACCATCTCTGTTTTTTTATTTTTAAATGTAATTTTTATCATATAAAATCTGTTGAGGCACAAGAAAATTTTCATTCAGAGAATGCAGCCCAGAAAAAAGTTTGGGAACCACTGGTCTAGGGCAAGATAGACTGACAGAACCGTTCCTTCTTCTAGGTTGTTTTTAAGATTTAGAGTTGTCTTTCTCTTAGACTCGTTCCGTCCAAGGCTAGAGAATCCTGTCT